TGTTTTTTTCCTTTTGCTGTTTTCCTACCGTGAACTTTCGCCCCTTTCCCTTAATCCCTTTTTTTTTTTTTTTTTTTTTTAAATTAGTTGCTAATGACCAATATAACCTTGTCTAAAATTAGGGGATATTACACTTTTCCTCTTAGTTGATTGTCAATAAAAACTTCAAAACTCTCATCATGTGACCACATATCGACTACTCGAACTTTAAGTAAGTTTATGCTTCTGACAGGTCTCATGGAGCTTCTTCACCGGATTTGTTTGAAGCATTTCCGGTGAAATTATGGGCTCTAATAGAGTCTTGGCTACCTACAGGTCATACAAAATCAAAAGTAGTATACGTTAGAGGCGGGGAAAGAGAAGAATATTGTCCAAGTGACGCTAATATTTTGAACTGCTTTTAGAACTAGGAATTTGAGGGGGAAAAGAGAACATACCTCCCATGTAGTGTCAATTGAAGAATTGCTATCAATAAATACTGCTTCTATTGTTGATTCAACGATATCAGCAAGCACCTTTGGAGCATTTATCAATCCATGGGAATGCAATGGATACTCGGGAAGAGCATTTATAAATGATTGAATATGTGAATATAGATAACTTTAGTCAAGTGGAAGAAGATCAGGGTCACACACAAAACCTGAAAATGAAACATTAAGAAAAAGGTAGAGCAGTAAAGAAGGAGCAACATATCAATGAAAATATTTACTTATTTCACAGGAGATTGAGAAAAGACAAAGGAAGTAAAACACTTCTGTACTTTCTTCTCCTACTTTTTTTATACCTGAGGTATTATATGCATCATTTCTTTAGAAGACTCGGTCCTCTTTTTGACCACTCATTCATCAACTTTCCGTAACGAATGCTAACATGTACATGGAAGAAATTTCTATGCACCAACCAATACATAAATTTATATAGTATATAGTATTATTTTATTTTTTTCAAATTTACCGACCTACTAGTAGAACAAACAAAACAACAAGCAATGAAACCAAAGCCGGATAAAGTCTCTAAACTATAAGATAAATAAGCCTCTCCAGATCATACAAGTGTGCGTCGAGCCCTTCATTTACAGCTGGATGAGATATATGAAACCATGAATTCAAGGGTCCTTTGGTTGGAAAAGTTGCATTTGAACTAATTTGTTCAATCCAATGCGCAAGTTAAAAAGATTTAGTCTATATATAGAATACTAGATGGGATAGGCCCGTGCCAACATTTTGTATTATACTGTATTTTATATATGAATGTCAAGATTCAAGCACAAGGGAAAATTATATATACTGACTGAAGATATTAAACTGAGACTCAGGAATACATATAAATAATTTTCACAATTAGTGTATTTTAACTGGTTATAATAGGTTCTTTATATTACTTTTTAGGCCAGCTACCAAATTAGGCATAATATAGACAATTACCTTTCATAATAAGTCATTCTTACGGATGGCGTAGAAAAACTACGTACTGTCAGTGTATAGAAGTTAACTCACGTTAAGATGAGATTTCAAAAATTCTGTCCTTGCCAAAAACTCCTTGGTGAGTCTGTATTTCAACTTTGGAAACCCAGAGTTGTAGAGGAGCAATAAGAACAAAAAAGAGAAATAGTTCTATTTCTAAGCCCAGATTATTAGCTATTAGCTATCTTCATATTGTCAACACTAAGCATTCTAATAACTTCATTATATGCCTTGTTTGCTGCTCTGTTCAATGCAATTTCTTTCTTTACATGACACATGCCTTTTCCTCTTAGTTGATTGTCAATAAAAACTTCAAAACTCCCATCATGTGACCACATATCGACTACTCGAACTTTAAGTTTATGCTTCTGGCAAGTCTCGTGGAGCTTCTTCACCGGATTTGTTTGAAGGATTTCCGGTGTAATTATGGGCTCTAATAGAGTCTTCGCAACCTACTGGTCATACAAAATCAAAAGCGGTATATATTAGAGGTGAGGAAAGATAAGAATACTGTCCAAGTGACGCATTTTGAGCCCCTAGTAAGAACAAAACACAGAACAGAACTTAAATAAGTTAGCCTTCACATGCCAGTCTTCTCATTATTCAATGTGGAGATAGAATTTAAAGTAAAGAAATTGAGCACCCAAGCTCATCAAATTCTCAAATGGTTCTCTTTTTCCCATATTTTTCTGTGAAGTAAAAGTCACTACTTCAGCATCCAATCACAGAGATTCATACAAGATTCCTTATGAATTTTCAGTCATAAGATAGTATCATAATATATCGTTTATACATACTTGGTGGTATGACTAATTCATCAAATGACTGTCTTCAACGGAAGAGCCATATTTCCTCCTTTTTTCTGAAGTAACAAAATTTATATGCCATAAATTCACAAAGTGTGCCTGCCTTCTAGCCATGCTTGAGACGATAGCAGGCTAGAAATGGAAGCCAAAGCTAAACCTAGCATTTGCATTGGCTCTAAGCAGAGCGGACCTATGCGTAATATTGAGGGGTTACGGACCCCGTAAACTTCTGCCAAAATTTTGTATACGTATATGTGTAAATCTTGAAATGGTTAATTCAAATCACTTTGGCACCCTGAACACTAAAAGCCTTTAGGGGTCACTAGTTGAGCAGAATAATGTGCCCCCGTCGCATTAAATCCTGGGTTCGCCTCTGGCTCTAAGTAGACTTCCATGCAACAACATGTAAAATTTAGCTAAAGGAAAAGGTACTCCTCTTTCCTTTTCTTTTGCTGGTTCGCTTTATTTCTTTCTT